GTCATGTCAAACGGTGACGTCATATATTTATCTGGAGAGCATGGGCAATAAATACTATCGGTGTAGACTGGAATAGCAAGACACTAGAGATTGCCATTCGATCGAGACTTCTGGCGTATTTCGCCGAATATTACAGTTAAAACAGAAACGATTGAATGTAAATCAGTTTACATGTATATACATTCAAATTACATTATTATATGTGTTGCGACCCATTTGTGTCAATTCCTAGATCCCAAATATTAGCGACTTAGCTCGTTTAAGTTAACTGAACCATAACGTAATCTAAAAAGATTAAGTTATCCACATTACGCATATTATTAAAAGGTTAGCACACAGACAATTTATTATTCTTTATAACGGTACATTGTCTCAGATATACAGGTATGTTTACATAATGTTTTTAAAACATTTTATTCATTTTCCACATAATTATGTTTACATAATGTTTTTAAAACATTTTAATAATTTTTCAGCGTACATTCGTCTACTGTTTGAAAATCAATGTTTATTTTTTATTATCTGTAATTTGAGAGGAATATTCAACATACAGGTTTTTAAGAGAACATCACGGTAATCAAGACTTTAGCTTTTTCCACGCGGGAGATTTTAAATAACAGATATTCTACAGAAACTGTAGAATCTCGCGTAACATTATTTATAGAGCTATAAATAATGTTTTAACAAAAAAAAAGAATTAACAGAAGCCGATAATGTATTCACACGATAACATTTTAAAGTTATTTGGTTTGAAATAAAAGTGGAATAAGATGTAGGATAAGGTGTATTTCTAAATTTATCTATTCCAGCTCTGTGAGGGGCAGATCAAGGAGACATTTTACATAAACATACACTCCTGGGTCGGTTATCTAAAATAAAGCACAATAGTCGAGATAATAATATTCTTTGCTAAACCTGGTGAAAACTTTTTAAAAATTCGGCAACAACTCTTTAAATAGTTTAAAATGATAGATGTTTATCTTGGTTATTGGGTTGTTCGCGAGGGTGATAACGTGTTAGACAAGTTGGATTGTTACTTTGGTTGCTGCATTACGTCCCTTCTTCTGGAATTGTCGACCCGTTTAGCCACAAGTAGGATATTGTATTCATGCACTTTAGGAACACTTACCACCAGAGGCGTAGCCGTGAAATATATATTTGGGGGGTCCGCAACCCTAACCCTAACCCATTTTTTAAAACCCCTAAAAAATATAAACAAACACCATGTGGCCATGCTGTCTACCAAGACACCGCGTGCAAAAGCATTATGGTTACGTTGCTGGCTGAGCGGGCGATAAATATTTGGTTTAAGCGATAATGTTTTTGGGTACCTACATGCGATTCATTCTGATAAGTGGCAGAAAAAAATTAACAAAATATTACTGACAGGCTAACTAGACACAATTTTATGGAACACAGGTACTTTTCACTTCACACATGTTACCAGGATGATTCTCTCTGTGTTTTATTTTAGCAATGTAAACCATATTGGGATATGTTCAGGTTTTATACAGCTATAGAATCTTAACTAATCCAAATAATTGTTGTAAATAAATAGGAGTTTGGGCCTACTATGTAAAAAAAAATGTTAGGGGGGGGGCAAGTATATTTAGACCCCCCCCCCCCCATGTGTGACGCCCATGCTTACCACCAAGTTAACATGCCAAACAATATATAGGAGTCCGGTCTAGCAATACAGCTTTAAGAATAAAATTATATATCACGCACCTGATCTGTGAGTGCAGAACTGGGACTCTTGTGTCATTGCAATCGATCTGTACACCTTGATTGAAGTTCTTACACCACATCCTTTCCAGGACAGTTTTACATAATCCATTCACTTGATTTGATATTGTTTATTTGGCGCAATGTCTATTTTCTGTCTTGTCCGCAGGTTTATCTTGTGGATATTTGCTTTACGTGTAGTGCGGTCCTCCTGCACTTACTATTAGATTACACAGAAAAAAAAGCTACTTCTCACACTACGGAATTAAAGAAAATAAACAATTTTGGATGTATTTCCCACAAAAATCTTTCCAAATTTAAGAAGCCCACGTTTTCGTCCTTGCAACATCTTGCAGAGTCGGGCTTCTTTCCAAATCTTTCCAAATTTAAGAAGCCCACGTTTTCGTCCTTGCAACATCTTGCAGGGTCGGGCTTCTGCATGTATTATGTGAAATATGGAGGAAAATGTATCATCTTGCAAACTGAAATTAATTGGTCTAGCTTTTTCCCCATCTTCGTATCATTGGACTCTGGTGATAATACCAGTATATCATCAATGATTTACGGCTTCACAAACGTCGCAGATTATTCTATGCTCCTCCATCTCAATAAAACAGTAATTAGAATATGCTCAGATTTTTCATTTTTCATCTGACATTTTATTTTCAGAGTAAATATTTTATTAGATAACCTATTACCCAATACTAACAAGTTTTTGATGGAGGTTATCACCGAGAAGCGGGCTGTACAATCAGGTTCGTGTATTGATGTGTACTTTCCGTTCCCCAGTGTAACTGTTCAACCGCCTGGATCTGAATAGAACCTCGTTAAGCTGTAGTGCTTTGTAATTGAACTCAGATTAAAAAGTAAACGTGTTTAATTTTAATAGTTGAACCACTGGGAGTTGTATGGCATGACATGATTACAAATCACCTCTTAAATATCAGGAAATTTCGGTCACATACTTTTAACCGCAATGCTATATGAGAAACAATACATCGTAAATTGCTTAGCTGTGTGAAGGCTCAAATAAATAAAGGGTATTGAATGTTCTAGACAGAGTAAGCATAGTTATAATTAAATAGATCGCTAGTTCGTACTTTGATTTCAGATAGACAGCGTAAATTAGAACCCCTAAAATATGTAATACGTGGCATCAAGTGTTCTAGAAAGGAGTAATGATATAATTTTCATAAATACATTAGCAAAAACACAAAATCTAGACAATTTATAATAAATAGACTTTCTAAATTGGAATATATCAAAAAGAAAATAAACAGTGTCGGAAGGAATAAGCTTACTCTGCCTCCCGCTCGACACCCACAGTTACAGACAATTTGTCTGTAGCCAAGAAGTCATCATCAAGTGTACATGTGCTGGCATAACGTTTCAACTAACACAATGTCCCATGTATTGGACAATGGTGTATAATATCGCACACGAAGTGGTAATTAACGATTTATAATACAAAATACAATATACATATAATCAAACTCACATAACCAGGAAAGTCCAGATTACCGTGCATTGTTGTACACATGACCATTACTGTCTGTGTATAACCATGTTAATGCTAAGTCAGTTGCATGATAACTGTCTGTAAACATCATTAAAACCTATGTGCCTGTGGAACCAGCACCTCTCCTTATACACTTTTTCAATTATTACTTGTCAATAATCTAATTAATCAACTACCCTATTATCTTACTAATGACAAATTACCTATAACATGTTATCAACTTCCCCACCATCAACCTGGTAGTCTTTTATACACTCACATAAACAGAAATAATTATTACTATTATATTATTTTACAGGAAGCGAAAATCGTTACCAAATAATCTTCCCTGTATCTGTATTCTTATTGCAAACAATTTAACAGATCAGATAATCATCTTTGTCATGATATTTTTATTATTATTGTTGGCAATCCGTGCAACTGAACCGATTAACGTCATGTGGTTTGTAAGACCAATGCCTTAGGTTACGTATGATTTATGACCACGTATTCTATTCGAACATAATTTAAATTGGACCAAGATTCACTCATCACTTAAACATACATTATGCAAGAGCTAAATCTGTCAATTGCAGGTCTTTCTTTAGGCCTGAAATGTTATCTAAATTATTAATTAGACATTAATTAACTTATCCAGACGAAAATCAATTCTCGATGGCATCTGCTGCTTCTGATTAGATAAAAAAAAAATGGATAATCGAGACTATGTTTTTTATCCTACCGACTTTAGTAATGATGATCGATCGAGGCTACGCCCAAAATTCAATCGCTTAATACTCGGTTCAGGGTGGATCAATTTGACTGAAATTTTCAGCAAATTCCCTTTACAATATCTAGTTTTTAACTATCATAGTGAGAACTGCCAGCTCTTTATCTAATCTCCCATAATGTATCCTTAACAAAAAATCCAATATAATTTTTATGTTTACCTAAATCAAACCGGCCATGTTCCACCGAAACAAATCTCACTTCAATGGGGACATCCTAGGTATATTTCTTTGAATAAAATTGGATAATTCTGTGTGGAAGCTCACTAGAAGCTCTGTAGTGTGTTTTGAAAGAAATGTCGGCGTCCAATTGTCTATAACACAGACGGGATTGGTCTGATAGCTTCCCGCTATTTGTCCGGGTTTATTGTGTTTGTTGTTGTTGTTGTCTTCCAGTATCATTTTCCTAAATGAAAAACCAAATTGTAAGCAAACGTTGAAATACCTGTGATTTATTTTGGTCATCATTTCCATAAGGCTTAATATTCTGAGCAGAAATATTTCGACAAGATTCATAGGTCATTTTTCACATTTTTGCTGTTGGTTTTCATTCATAAATGGACATTTTTTCGGAGACTCACTGAAAACTTGGCTTCATCTTTAAGATCTTTTCATAACACATTTTAAACCAGTAAGTAAAATGGCTGATATGGAGAAATGTTAGAGCTTATATCCAAACAACTAACAAGTTTACAAGAATAGTATCCCGTACATTCAACAGAACAGTTTCAAACTCCATTATTCCTGATCGACAAATTAGTACGTTTTCTAATTTTTTTTTTTGTTAAAGAAAAAACGCATTAGAATTTCTTATCTTGTTGAGGTTTAAATCCCTGTTGCCAAACAAATCCAATTACTGTTTACTGTATACGAAAAAATCATAAATAATCCGGCCTTCCTGAAAGTTTCTTACAGCAAATGTGTCATCGCGTAATGTAATATATTCTTGACAAAATAACGATTTAGAACAACTGTTCCTGCTTATTGCAACTCATCAGCGTGTCTATGGCATTTATAACATTCACACTCCATCCCCGTGGATTTCGTTGACTTTCAAAAGGTTGGTAATATTTTTTTTTTATTGGCCTTTGGCTTTTAGAGATTTTGTTCGAATGTAATTCAATATACTGGCACGTCTGGAAGATTACCAATACTTCAGTAACCGTCAGAGGATTAAATTGTTCTTTTCAGTTCTTTAGTTTTTGGGGTTTAAATCGCAGTTAACTTTATTTTTTGAGAAAGGGTAAACATTGAGGTTTCATATTTCTTTGGACATCCTGAAAGATACCAGTGTAAGCGAACTACCCTAGGAACGGATATAACAAAAAGAATGATGTCATATCCTGTTATCTCTGGACAAACCAGTTTTACAGGGCAACGAGATTACTATTTCATATTTATGTAAATTATTTACATTTGTGTCAGTCCGTAAGTCAAAAGTTCTTTATGGACTGTTTTGAAATTTTGTACAGTTGTTACTTATGAAACATTATCGCCCGTTTCATTATATTTTTGGCAGTTTATAAATTGTTTGTACATATTTCAATTGTACCTGATCAAATATATACTTGTATGGAATTTTTGTAAGGTTTTACCTACATTTTAAAGATCTGTGTGAATATAGATGGAGAAATTTATTGTTCATTGGTTTTATATATCATTACTTTTTATGGATTTCACGTCGCCATCCTTATTGACTTACAATCGGAAACGTCAATCAACTCCTGAATGAACATTGCCTAAATTACCTTAAGAACGCCTTACTTTAAGAAAATGATATTCGACTTTCTTTCACATTTCAAAATATAACCCATTTTGTCGCCAAGAATTATATATACTTATGATGCTTGAATATTACGATTACATTTACTTATGATGTTTGAATATTAAGTTTAAATTTTAACCTCTAGTAATTATAATAACAACTCATCCAGGCCTCCATTGCTCCTAATTTATCTTAATCAAATTTCATTTCCAATTTTCAGAATAAGTTGCTATGACATATTTTGTTCGCAAAATGATTTATTCTCGTAGATGTTTTAAAAGTTTCAATTTTGAAATGGGAAATTCGAGTTTGCTTTTAAGAATTAATGTGATTCATCTCGAAATGGGTTATCATATTTTTGAAAGGTGTAAATGAAATTAAGTCTATGATCACCGTGCTCATAAATGTCGCACCGATTCGATTAAATTAAATAGAGTTTAAGGCGTGCGGCAGAAATTCTAATTTTACAGCCATAAACATATCATCACATTAGTGAACTCTACTCCATTTCTGCATACATTGTTATTTTTAGAATTTGGGATAAAATCTTCTATTTTAAAATTTAAAATGTGGAGCCTAAACTGAATAAACATAAACACATTTGAATAAATGATTATGCAATCTAGTTGGACTTCTATCTGCATCGAAATGTTTTACTTGACATTTTCTTGAAGAATTGACGTTTCTGCCGTAAAAAAAACAGGCCGAAGCATCAAATGTTAGCGTTCTTTTCTAAGAAGGATTCCAATCTGGATCCTGTTTTTATCTCGGAATTGTTCTGAGGAAGGTAGGGTTAAATGTTCGTGGTGTAAACGGTGCCCTTTTCTGAGAACGGGTTTAACCGTGATCGAGCATTGCAGGCTAATTATTACCAATATGACAATTATGACAATTCAAATTTGTCATCTATGGTAGTAGGGTGTTATTCAAGATGGACATTTAGGTCGCTCGAGAAAATGCTAGTGTCTCCGTTCGTTTTTATCGTAATTCGTAATTACTCAAAGAAAATATCGGGTGGACCAAAATGTAATATAATCGCCCCCACACCCTTCAGTATTTGTTTCCATCTAGGTAACATGCAAAGGGGGGGGGGGGGGGTAATGTTTCTATGTAGAGCGATTATTGGTTAGCAATGTAAACGGTAAATGTACGTAGCTATAGACTACCGGCTTTTGCTTTGTCGTCAGAGTGCATCGTCGACGAAACTAATTTGACCAAAACTGGAAATAAAATAATATAATCTAGTTCATTTCACTGAGATCGCTACATTCTCCCGTAACATCATTCAGCTCCGTTTTCGGCTAATTGAAATTTTAGTTTGTGGACCTTTTCATAAGTCAACAAATTTGATTAATTCTGTATCTTGGTCCTGTGCATCTATATGATTAAGTTGGAGATGAACTTCTTGACTGCCAATCACCCATTTATTGGCTTGTTAAACACGTTTATAACGCAGATGCTATACCTATATGTTTTGTATTCCACCGAGCGGTAGACTCTGGCAGGTTATTATATAACTTAATATTTTGATTTAGATGAAACTTTCAGGTACGGTAATTTCCTCATATTTTGGCGTATGATTCGCAACAGGGACTTACCCGTTAAATCTAAAGTTTCTATTTTGAGGCAAATACAGTACATAGAAAGGATAAATTGATATATCTTTCTAACTTTCAGAATGACTCGCATGACGCCACGAACGCAATTCATGAATCCAAAATGGCGGTCACCAAGCGATCATTTTAATCTAATCGGCCACGCCTGCTGTGGGTGCCACTTATTTGTATATTAGTAATCAAAGATACTGTTCCCAACAATTAATGCTAAAAACAATTTACGACTGGAACACATGGTGGTCATAAATGGAAAGGAATGCAAAATTAATATTGCAAGTTAATTGATTACAATACTTGCGGTCATTCATTCATTAATTTCAATACAGAAAGAGTGTGGTTAATTCCTGGAACACACCATACACCCACCGTGGTGGTCTGTTTGACTAGTCAATTAATATAAACCAGTTAATATGAAAACAATAACACAAATCAATACAATTATTAAAATAGTAATTAATATTTACACACGTTTAAGATCTCCTTTATTATATATACAGTAGTAATAAATAAATCTGTATTATGAAAACAATAGCAGGAATCCGAAAAAGAAATTATTTTTGTTCATTGAAATAGAGATAAATCATTAATCAAATAGTTAATATTTACTCAAATATTTTATTACATAGTAGCAAACGAAACTCTTTAATATTTGTTTTATTCGAAAAGAAGTAATATTCATTATATTTACTGTATAAATCTCTTCTTTATTGTATATTTGTTACTCGCTCAGAAAGCGTTAATAGTTATGTAATTATGAAAGCGATAATAAATAGGTCCATGACACCGAAGTTAACCAAATGTATTTGACTACAGATAAATTTGATGGCATTGAACTATATTATAAATTGTGTTACACTCAGACGAACTCGTCGTCATTTTATTCGTTAATATTTTCTAATTTAGATCTGCCCATCACATAGCAAGTATCTGCAGACACTCATTGTTTTTGGATTACGGTTTTTTTCTGTCCAGAATTGCTTTATCTAAGAAACATAGACTCTATCTGTTGCATTTTATTTTAATAACGATTCCGCATCCCAAATATTCGCGCGCTTTTTTTTTAATGTCAGCCTGTTCTAAAGATGTCAGGATATGAGTAATTAGGTTGTATAGTTGGCTTTATGGCAATGGCGGGGGTCAATTTGGAACATTTGGTGGGGCTTCCTGGTCTTAAATGTATTCTAAGTATCTGGAATATATATAATACATTGAATTACAAGTAAACAAACATTGTAACAAACGTTGTTGCTTTATGTGTGTGAAGAAGAACTGCTACAACCCCCTGAGCATCGAGTTCCATTCGGTGAAATACGTGTAATTGTCTCGCGTCAATACAGCATATTAAACTGCAGTGTCGTGAAGAGAGAGGGTGGGGTGTACAGGTGGCGACAGCCCCGGGTATCTATTTCAGGGTGCATCCAATCAAGGACTGATATTAGAATTTTTTTTTTTTAAATGTGATATTATGGCTGTTAACTGCGTTGTACAAGCTACACTGCAGTTCCACAAGTCGTTGAGGTTGATCATGGTCAGTGTTTAAATGTGGCTGATTTATGTTTAATTTGAGTAAAAAGTTTATTTCATCTGTTTTTTTAAATTATCAAAATGCCCTCCTTTCCCACATTTCTCAGTACCTGGTCCAATACTTAGGGGCATTCAATCACATAGTTGAAACCGGGTACCAACAAACCCCTGCACGCCGCTCATAAACTGTACCGTCTAAATTTATATGAGCGATATGTGATTGAATGTTACAAATGAAAAAGGTGTATGGAAATAGAGGATGCCAGAAAGCAAATCACGCTGTGGGTCGTCGTCGGTCGAAACGTTTCTTGGCAATCTTGTATATTTGTAAATCTTTATGGCGTAACCCTAAAACTAATGAATAGACCACCAAGTTAAAAAATCATGAAAGTTATAGAATCCACAGATAAAGTGAGAAATTTGAACAAGAAAAAAACCTGTTGTGTCATGATCAGGCCTAAACGTACGAGCATTTTCACCTTGTAACTGGGTCGAACATGAATGAGTTTTTAACGAGATGTTTGATCTTTACCCTGACCTTGTAACCTTGTGATTTATTATAAAACCATATACAATGGCGTGCTTGGAAACATTTTATCACTTTATTTAGTAATCTTGGCAATGTCGTAGATTATGCAACTCCTAAATCAATATCCTGCAATGTGTTGGGAATATATTCTTTTGGAATCTTATTACAATGGTGTCGCGAAATGCGTGTCTAATACAATTACTTGGGTTCTAAATGTCTTCCAAATGCCCAAATATAAAGAATGACACCGGTGTTGACTCATTGATCATACAAATAAAATCAAGATTTTTCTCGCCATTCAGCGAAGGGCAATTCCAGAGGAGACAAGTCTGACATTCCATTGAAAATGGAGATTATTTTCAAGTTAATTTGGTAATTGAGGCATAAACTACGTGTATTTTTCAGTAACACGGATAGTAATAATGATAGTTCGAAAAAAGGATGATGAATATACTGAAAATGGTCGATTGTCAAGTACCATTGTCATAATAAACGAAATCTCGATTGTCAGTCATGTTATTTTAAAGTTAACCGATTATAGCGTGGATGGTGTAACTCATTCAATCTCGTCATGACTTGTCATGTGAATAAAATGTATGTTAACGTTTGAAGCCGGAAGAAGACCA